TTTCATGAGAATCTCTATTTATGGCAATCTACAAACGGTGAACCTATTTGGTTCAAATATGGAATAATTAATTTCTTTATGTCAAGTGTTATGATTACATCAAGGAACTTTCATCAAAGAATATTAAAAATTAGGTCTCTGTGCCATATAAAGCGCTGCTTGTTGTAAGGGCAGTTATAAAAGAAACGAGTCAACAACTTTGCTTATCCTAGTCAAGCTATTTAAATCTATGTCGAACTATAACGACCCAATGGTTTTTGTCGAAAAATTTTGTAAATTGCAAGTTTTTTTTCATAAGAATTTTTTTTTTTTTTATTGTTTAAATAAGGCATAATATGCTATATATGTTGTACAATCACATACATTGTAAAATTTTAATTTTTTATTTTTTTTTTATTTTTAATGATATAGGATTATGCAAATATGCAGTATTTTGAATAAATAAATAAATATGTGTAAATGTGTTCATATTAATCAACTCTTTTCTATAATAAAGCTAAATTTAAAAATTTTAAAGTTTTAAGGGAAGTGATTGTAAAAGTGGGCACATTCAAGCCATTTTCAATAAATTGTGCCCTTGAAGAGTAACACGTCAATGTACTGAATTTCGAGAGAATATCTTAAAGGACTCCAACTGACGGGTGAACACAAAAAGCAAAGACAGGCGGACGGACAGACAGACTGGGGTACGAACACACAAACAGGAATGATTAAATTGGTTCAGAGAATCATTCTAAGTCGATCAGTACAATAAAAGGTCTCCCTTAAGCCTTTCTGAGCACCATTATACATACTCACAATTTTAATATGCCCTTGACTTCATTGGTAGGTAGGGTACAGAAATGCATTACATTGAAAGGTCCTCTGCTACTCGAAATATACAGAAAACAAGCCAAGTAAGTGACGATAGTGAGGCGATTGAGTTTAATTGTTACTCTCATTTTTGAGTATTGTGCTAACAAGTTGTTAAAGCAATTTATGGCATCATATACATGACCATGTATTCCACTAGGAATAGGGTAAACTATAAATAATTCAATCTTCGTGATTGACGATGACGATGATGACGAAACGAAAATTGTTTATGTTCCTTGTAAAATACAATTATGGCAAAGATCGAGTGAAGAGTGAGAATGAAAGGCAAAATGTTACACTTGTTAAGACATGTGTTAAACAATTTTATAAATTTTCAATTTTAAAGGTCTTTTTGAATTAATTGTTTAGAAATGTTGAATTCAAACATAAACACTAGTTATTGTTTAAATTAATTTGTAATGTCTATAGGCATAGAATCGGGCATTGAAAAGTAAATAAAATATATAAAAAACCGTGAATAGCGAAATCGTTTTAATGACGTTTGTATGTCTACTTGTTTCTGCTTTTGGCAAAATTACGGCCGTATGCATACAACTTCAGGTTTGGCCATTGTATTGTCGTCGCATTAGCGTATAAAAATCGCTGCTATTAACGTGATGAGATACGAACCCTGTGGAAAACAATTCGAATCGAACTATTTTTACGAGCATTCTCCATAAAGGGTCATATTTTGCCATGTGTAATATTTGCAATTCTCTCAATTACGCGAAAGTTGAATCGGTTTTAAACCTCCTCCCATATAATCGCACTTGTGCAGGAAAACATTTTGTAAAAACAACAAGCGAGAATTAGTGCATGATAACAGTCCGAGATAAAAGTCTGAGATAAAAGTCCACTGTACCAAATGTGGTACACGGACCTATCGTTTGGTATTTGTCAAGATCCCTCGGGGGAAAGCTTGCCTTTGTGTATACCATGTAAGAAACTCGTGTAACCCTTACATACAATCACAATTTGAACGCAACAGGTTCAACCGATGCGCGCGGCCTGACCGCCAAGGACCACTTGAATGCGGCCCTTCCGCGAATACTCGTGATGGTGGTGGTAGAGGTGCTTGCCCTGCCCAGAGAGGAGACTCTATGGACCATACCAAAACTTTTCTTTCTGGTACTTCAGCCTTGGGATACGTCTTCTATTACGCCAAGCGTAGACGTTAACAATTGATATAATCCGTGCGAAATGTAGATAACGTAGGTATTTTATATACTTCATCCCGGGTAGATGTGCTGGCGAAAAATACTCGTTGTGCGACAAGAATGTGTTTTGTTGAATACTTTAGGATGAAAATTGCTTCCTAATAGTAATTTGACATATCAATTAACTGTACCATATTAAGACGAGGTAGATACACTTTTCTGGTATAAGAGCATTCATTGAAAGCAACAAACTCCGATTTTTAATACGATGAAATCGATGAAGAACAACAAGGACTCATTTTATATTCTGAACCTTCTACCGTATAAGAGCTTTCATAAGAAGTACACTCTTCGATGGAAACAAGGCATAATTGTTGATATTTCATCTCGAAGATCAACGAAGAATAAACGTAGTGGTGTAGGTTATCTTGTAGTGGGCTTGACCTGACTATTATTTTCTTACTCATTTTTATTCTCCGCCATGTTTAGTATCATCCAAATAAAATTGCATCAAAGTTACGCCTTTGAACCCGCGAACGCTGTCTTGGTAGAGGCGATCATTACCGACTTGGCTACTCACGTGGGTTGTCGCATAAATTTGCGTTAAATGCTTTTACGCTAATCTCTGAAACTACCTGTATCATGGTTCCGTTTCAAAATCCACGACTATGTTTTAGATATTTTTTTAAGGTTGGTTATCAAATACCATAACTTAAGGGTATTTTTTAGCCAAATTGAGCCTTTTTTTCGCTTTGAATGCTATAGCGCAATATATAAAGTAATAGTAACATACGGAAAAGTTTTTTCATTTCACTGATCTCTATGAGTAAAATTATTCATCTCATGTCGAACATAACGCCTTTCTTACGCGTTTTTATAGATACGTCTGCATAACAAATCCATTATTACATATATTTTTTAAAAATAAATTTCGTTATTGTTCATGTTAACAGCAACACAATCACGTGCTAACTAAAGACATGAACTTGCATACTCCAATCTGCTTGGTGTATTAGTCTGCTCCTTGACTTTGCAAATTCTTTTCATCGCTATCGTAAGAAATGACGTAAAGGTATTATTTCATAGCTAACATTCAAAGTAGAACTCAACTTAACTCAACTTAAGGTAAACCGTTCATAGTCTTTGAAGATAATACTCTTGTTTACTTGCGTCACCATTCTATGATTGTATGTCAATTTGCTTCCCCACCGAAGGAATTACGTTAGATGCTTCAAGCTTTTCTCAAAGTAGGTAAGTTTACCTAGCACAATCAGGCTGCAGTCTCTATAAAATCCAAGCTGTTCTAGTCATGCAATAAATTCAACTTATGTGTAAAAGTGAGTCATAACATCTCGTTAAAGATCGTTTAAGTTTTATTCCTAAACTTTTTGCACATTCGGTTCAACCCTTTCGAACTCTGTGTACAGTATATATGTCATATATTATATATATCATTTTTTCTCATTAAGTGATCGAAAAAAAAAAAATAAAAAAAATACATATGCAATGCATTAATGAAATAAAAATTTTTAATGGTCCTCGTTATGTGCATAGATGCATTTAATGTTAATGTTAACATGAATATTTTAAGAAAAGAAAGAAAGAAAAAAAAATAAATAAATAAATAAAGCGAAAGCACATATTTATTAATAATCATAAATCATTTTCACTTCATTGACTTCCACTTACCGACCACATCCAAATAGCCCACTTGACTTTTCATTGGATCCGTATTGATTTGACACATATACCAGCCTTTGTCCGTTTCCTTAACGTCGCGTATCCGCAATATCCAAGCACGTTTCTCAGCATGCGTTATGCTCATGCGATGATTTTTTGTTATGACGTGATTTTGTATTGTTAAAATCGTTTGTGTATCGACACGTAGCCACGCTATCTGCCGCATGAAAATAAAGCAATACAGAAGGCGAGAGAGAGAGAAAGAGAGAGAAAAAAGAAAGTACAGAAAATCCGCACAACCATTATAAATTTGTACAATTTGTAAATTTATTGTTTGTAGATGATTGCGGATGTTGTTTTTGCACTATTCAAGCAATTACGAGCAGGTGTTTATACTCCGGTTTTATTATTATCAACTCGTGCTCTCTATCCTTGTTTCTTATATATTAGGATTAATGTTAGGTGTGTATGTATGTATTTCATTCATGTTCGGATGATACAAAATTAATGCGATGCTGGATAATTTTTCAATGATAAATTTTTGTTATACAATAGAGACATAAACAAGAAGTAAATGTACGAAGTGCTAAGAGATATTAATGATTGTAGGACTAGAGAGCTAAAGTGACAAAAAAAAAACTTTCCGCAAAAGTTGGCAAACGGAATTAAAAGTTGAAGAGAAAGAAAAACTTGTATACGATTTCGAACAGAAATTTTTACTAACAATCACAAGCTAACACATATTCATGCATACGTCTTTCCGCACTTATATCATGTTTGACTAGCACATGGAGTGAAAATCCGATTAACACACGATAGGTTGTCAGCGGAACCAGTTGGAGGAGGTCATCGTTCGATTTTTTCACAAATTGCAGGTAAAGCTAAGATATTCGATCATTTCCAGGCGTTGTGATCGGTCACTTGTGACTACGAGAAAACAATGTCACTGTAGATTTGGTATCCTGCGTTAGTGGTGAAAATAAAACTGCCCGGCATCAATTTCGTTCCAGAACAGGGTTGCTAAGCCACGAAGACCATAAAGAAAAAAATGCTTTGCGACGTGAGTGATCTCTGTGCTTTAGCTCAGGATATGACCGATTAGGTTTCGCCTTCGCGTATATGGTTTGACTTATATATTTGTGTACATATATGCATAACATGTGCATAGGGGCATAATATGCCTATACTTTCGGACCCACTTGTCTCTTTGCCTTCTAGATTGCTTTTGTTACACATGCAGTTACTTGAGAAAGGCAGCTTTATCTTCGGTGCTTCCTTCTTTATTAAATCAAGATCGACATTACTTCGTGAGATAAATATCAATGTCCCGAAACGTTTCTCTAAGAACCCTATTTTCATAAAGCTTAGTCAATATAGATACAATTACGAGCTTTCCAATCCTCTTGGAGTCCTTTGCATACCTCCAGTTTAATCTTAATATCGGGTTCTCTAAGTTCTATCAATTCAACTCTTCGCGCCGTTTGCCTATGCTGTATCTTAATTAGTTTTGATATCTTCGTAGGATTCGAACTATTTTAACTACATGTTTTTTGCCATTATCTGTTGCTAAATATTTTCATGCTTGCAACAGCTTGAGGCTTCGCCGAAAAGTCGGATTTTTAATGGGTGTTAGTGAACTTTTGTGCTACACGTGTACTTGCTTTTCTTCTTTATTTTTTCTCTCTATTTATTCATACATCAATTTTTTCTTTCTTCTGCAGAGCAAAATTTTGCGAATGCAATCGTGCATCACAACGGTGAAGGCACTTAAATTAAAATATCTGCAAGCGTATTAGTTTTTAGATGCTACAACATCAACGGTAAGTAAAGCGCATAAAACCTGCTATTGCTCTAAAACATTTCGAATGCGTTCAATGGTCAAATAAATTGGAATTGAGTTTCGCAGTGTTTGCTCTTGCTAGGTCAAGAAGAGAAATTTAAAGATCTTGATGAACAAATTTATGATAAAACTAATCATACACGCGCTGCTTTTTGCTTCTCTTACGCTCGTTATGTTGACCGGTTCTCAAGGCGAGGCAACTTAACACATAATCAAGGTGATAAGAATTGAAAGGTGGCTGGAGTTGGACTTTTGAAAATTCAGGCCATCGCTACACCATTGTAGTAACGAATAATTCTGATATACATAGTGGCAATCCCGGCTTCAAGACTGCCTTCCGAAGACCTATTGAGAGTGATGGTAAAATGTTGGAAATCTCATTATAGTGTGCAAGTCTTAATTCTTATTTGCAGACAGCAATGCCAAGTTGCAATACCGCACTGCTCTGGCCAATGTTGCTGGTTGTGATTGTTTTAAGTTTTAAAATTCCCATCACTTTGTCTAATCAATAAAAGTTGAACTTCTAGTTTGTGAAAAGTAGTTAGTTATCTTTTTTAAAGATCTTACCAGAATTTACGTAGGTATATGAAAAGCTTTCATTTCATTGTAAAAAATCGATTTTTATATTTTTGGGCTTAAAATTTTATCGACACTTTGAGGTAAGTAATGATTGCTTGTTTGTTGTTGCATTTTGAATGATTATTTTCGTTCATATTTATGGGCGATCGCTTTATAATTTTTATGAATTACGGTAAGGTACAAAAGTAAAACCTATCATGAAATTGCTACTGTTGCGAATAACAGAAGGGGACAATACATTTGAAGTTTGTGGATATAATCGGTTTGTCAAACTTTCGTCAAAATCGAGAATAAAGTTTCGAAGATTATATATATAAATACTACATCTACCTATAGAATCTCTAAAGTGTGCTAGTCTTGATAAGTATCAGGTTTGACTGTGACTCTGTCCGTCCATCTTTCCCTTTGTAGGTATTTCTGTCACAAACTTGTTTCCGATCCCAAAAACCTATGGAATTAGCAAAGAAATTAGAAAGGTTGAAATACCTCTGCTCTGTAAATTTTTAGCTAAGCGCTCATTACACTAAAACAGACATAAAGGGAAATATTATGCTATATATTCTATGCCTGTGCAAGTGGGAAGTGCTTAAGCGAGATTAAATTAAAGTCACAGACCTGTGAAAAGCATGAAGAAGATATATTGAAGTATGAGAAAGTAAGTTGTATTCAATATGCCTGAGTGGCCGAAGGCGAGGAATCTCGACTAGCAACTCAATGGTTTTTAATAAAAGCCGATAGCCTTAGATGCTAGTGCTTTATGAGTTTAGTTTTAGAATTTATTTCTCTGGCGAAATTAATAATAACAATAATAATAAGAATTAGTTGAATTCCATTCCCAAGGTATTTTGATTTTATTTATTTATTCGAAAGACTCAATTAAAATTGATTTTAGATACGAAGTAATCCTATATTATACTTGCTTTGAACTAATTTAAGAAAGAACAAGTACACTACACGGCCCGCCGTCAAGTTACCCATACGACCCTACAGTGGTTCATATAAAACGATTTTTTAAGTAAGGATCGGACAACTTTTTCAATCATTCCTCACATGACCTCTTATATACAAAAGTCGTTCGATGAAAAATTCCAATATTCAGAAGGTCGCCTAGTCAGATGGGGCGATTGGTTGAGTCTCCTGCCATATAATCATTCCTATCAAAGTTTAATCTTTATATAGTGGATTATAGGTTTTAAAATCACTTTCTAATCTTGTATGTCACTCTGTCCGTCTTGAATTTTTGCGTTCAATCTAACAGGTATTGCGATAAAATTTCGTATACTGAAGCGTTTTAGCATCCTATTGCAAAAGGCTCGGATCGGGTCACTTTTACAACCATTTCCCATATAATGCCTTATTTTGCAAAGTTTCTAAATGAATAACTGTATCGAACGGGCTGATGTAGGATATTTAATGGTAGACACCTTTTTTGGTGTTGTTGTTGTTTTAAATATTTATTTATTTTATTCGTTACTTATGTAATGTGAAAGCAGATTACGTACATATTACGGATAAATAGAGAAAAATGTTTAAATCTGATCGCGTATCAATATGCTTTATGGTGTTCTTAATGAGATATTATTGAAATTCACGAACAAAATGAGAAAATTAATATACCCTTTTGGAGCGATTATAAGACAGGTACCCAAAATTCATTCACAATTTCCATAAAATTCTATTAAAAACACATAGAGAAGAGAAATTTGCGTAAACTAAAATTACTTTCTGGTTAAAAATACAACCAGTTTTTATTTTATACTTTCGTTGGCGAAAGTTTTCAACATTTTCTTTCTTCAATTCCCAAGTGGTCCTTTCCGCAAACTACGCTGCATGTCTTCATTTAATTGTCTTGAAAAGTAAATTTTGCCGCCTTTTTAAAATAACAAAAAGCACATAAAAGATAAATTAACTTTTTTCCTTTAGAAAATTTGCCTACAAGTTGGAAGAGCGGAAAAAAAGGAGAACAAAAGAAAAACAATTACCTTCAAATAATAAGGCGAATACACAGTAGAGTACACTGGTAGCCCAGTTAATACATTTAATTGTTATTTCTTAACCGTTCGCTTTTTATTCTTATATTCTCAATAGTCTGTCTCACTCTTTGTCGTAATGTCTGGCAATGGCGGCGATCAATTGAATGCAAAAATAAAGCGAGGGGATAAGTACCGAGTCCTAATTGTTAAAATAAACGAAATGAGTAAGAGTAAGAGAAAGTGAAGGAATATATAACAAAACGGAAAAAACAAAAAGAAAAAAAAAAAAGAAAAGAAAAAACAAAAACAAAAACTGAAAGAATATTAAAAACAGCATCCCTCTGCAGGTGTTTATGAAGTGCTTCTACTTTCTTTTTTTTCTTTTGTTTCGACTTTTTCCTTTTAATAGCACGTCAATGGTAATGGTAGTGGCGGTGTTGATGGCACAAGATCAAAGTTTGCACTAATTGAGTGTTAAATGACGAGATGAATGAATATTAAAATTTACTTAAAATTATTCATATTTAAACAGCTGCAAAGCCCTGCACCAAAAATGTTGACATCATTTTTATATTATGCTTTTCTCTCTATTGTTTTCACATTATTGTACCTTATAAGTTTGTAAATTATCCACCACACACTGGAGTACTGCCTCACGGCCTACTGGCACAGTAACATTCTGCAATGGTTCACCGAATTTGGGAAGATCTGTGAAAGTGAATAAATATTTATTTATATAAGTATTTACACAAGATGAATGAACAGCTGTTAGGCAGGCACTTAAGACAAAAGAATTTAAAAAAAAAAATCTTTTAACATATTCTCTCTCTATATATATGATATGTATGTAGGAAATAGGGAAAAACAAAAGCATATTATTTTTATTTATTTTTTTTTTGCTCAATTTCTTACCCTTGTCTGGTATGATGTTAACGCCTGTGGTATCATCTCTTATATCCTCTAGTAATTCTTCATGAGTTTGCATTTCTATATGTTGTTAATATTGTTGTTGTTGTTGTAGTTGCAGTTTATTTTTATTTTTTTTTTTTGTTTTTGCAGAAACATTCAGGTATGCATGTACGTATTTAGTAAATGTTTACATGCGTATGTAATTTTATATGATTTTATTTAGTTTATTTAAGGTTCTCAACGGATTGTGTCAAGTGTGTTGGTTTATGTTTTACGGAGACAGACGGGATACCGTGCGCACAGGTGCAAATATCAAAAACGTCATGTGTTCCAGTGTGCACAAAGTAGAGATTACAACACACAATTAAAATCACAGTAAGGCATATGCAAACATATAAACGTACCGACATGTGTACGTAACATGTGTGCGCACATAACAGTGGAATTAGTAGCCAGACAGAGGTTTGTTTTTGTCAGTTTTTATCCATGGATTTTGATTACATTTTATATATGAATGAATGAGAGACCGACAAGACAATTGCATGTTATTACAAAGAGGTAACGACACAGAGAGAAAAGTTAAGAGTTGAGAAAAATAGAGAAAAAAATATTATTATTATTATTTTTTTAATTAAAAAATAAATTTCATTTGCTCTTTGCTTTTATTATTTAGATATCTTTTGCTGACTTTGCAGGTAAAATGAATTTATTTTCTTTTTTGCTTCTTTTTTTTCTTTGCGTTTTTTAATATTACAAATATTGTTTACAAATGATAAAAAGATTTTTTAAATAATATTAAATCTCTCTAATAGAGTAAAAATAAAATATGTTTCTGTATGGATTACAATTTAGATAAAAATTGACATTGGCACCCAGATGATAAGTGCCAACAAAATGTAATTTGCATGCAGTTAACTAAATAATTGAAAAATTGATATATGAGGCTAATAAATAAATAAAAAAATTAAAATAAAAAATTAAAAAACAGAAAAAATAAAAACAAAAAGATTGAATGTCTGCAATTTAAATTGAATCTTTTGATACCATGTAATCCTAACATAAATCAGCCTCCGGAATATACACATACGTATATGCATTCAGTGAGTCTAATTAATATTCGGTTTTTATGCTCGAAAAAAAAATAGACGCTTTTTAAACGTAGCCCACTGTCCTAACATAGAAATATTTATTGGTCTTCTAGTCTTAGCTTCCTATTCCCGTTCTTGGACCAATGGCGTACGGCGACCGTGACAATGGTCATGTTATAGTTTGGGTATGAATTGGAGACAACGGAGGCGGCAAACTGGTGCTTATGGATGACATTCTAAACAAGGAGTATTATTTAAAGATATTGTAGGGAAACTTTAAGGAAAGTTCGCACAAACTGGGCATTTTTTCTATCAAGACAATGACCTCAAGCATAAGTCCCGCTTAATTCAAGAATGGCTCTTATATAACTGCCTCAAAATGCTTCACTCTCTTCCCCAATCACAAAGCACGAACCCCATCAAAAATATGTGGACCGCCGTATCCGAAAACGTTTAATCACTTCCATCCAAGATCTGACAAATAGACCGCAAGAAGAATGGAGTAAGACCCCGGTTTCCTATGCAAGAAAATTCATAAAAAAAAATATGTCAAAAACGTTTACATTACGTTATTAAGCAACAAAGGAAACTCAGCCAAATATTAATTTTTAATAACATGCTGTGTTTCCTCCTCTTGTCCTCCCTTATATGAAAAATACTCAATATTAACGGAGCTATGTTTTTTGAATTGTTTTGTCTTTTTCTTTCTTTTCTATTTTAATATGTATTCCCCAACAGTAATAAAATAGCTTTTTATGTTTAAACAAGCGTTTATTTGTTTTCGAGCGAGAAAACCCAATATTAATGAAACTCACTGTATATAACAAATCATATTTTTTCTTCATTGCTTATGGAAAATACAATCTATTTCATAACCTCGATGACACAATCACAATAATGAAATATGAAGAAAATTAAACCGGTATGCTTAGGTGCCCACTATAAAGCAGTAATCTTATGTACTACTTATGTGTTCGACATATGTACTAAACTGTTACGAGCACAAACGAATGAAGATAAAGTAAATTTCACGCTAAAACAAATTAGTCGATATAGAGAACCTCCGAGAATTGAACGCACTTATGATTCCTTTCAGAAACTCTATTGAACAATATTGAAAGGATAACATAATGATGAAAAAAACTAAGCAAAAATAGAATAGGCATACGTAAGGAAAAGAAGAAACCATACTTGATGTTATAAAAAATTAAAAAAAAATGTATTATTGCCACGTGTCATATAGGGTACTATTGGAGAGAGGCTACGTATTAAAAAAAATGCCAACTATTCAAGGGCGGATTATTGACATGTTTCAAAAGACGCTAATACTTATCAGAAAAACCTAACTTCACTACTGTCCAGGGTATAGGCCGGCCCTTCCCGTATACATAAGACAATTAAATATAAAATATGTTAACAAATTTGTTCAAGTGAAGATTTTTAATCTTACGCTACAATCCATCAGAAAGACTTAATTTCGTTACTCTGGTCAGTGTCTATCACCGCCAAGAAATCGCCCCAAACCTACTCTCCCCCATACACATAACACACAAAATTAATTATAATACGCGTAGGTGTTTCTCCTGTTTTTCCGCGCATCTCTTCGGCGAATAACTTTCTTCGAACTGATTGTATTTAAGTTTATGTTTATAGCTGCATGGTGTATTATTGCTATTGTTATCTTTACAGTTATACACGCAAACATTAGCTCTCGACTCTTAAATTGGCCAAGTACGTTATATTTCAAAGCTTTAAGCACGTTCCTCTTGAAACAAACGTCCACGTCAAACGACGCAAAAAAACTCTTTCAATTTTCATTCTTTTAGTTCGAATTATTTTCAATATCTTTTTAAAATCAAATTCTCTTGTGCAATGCATAGAGGATTCTCGGTAAGTTAATTTGAACATTTTTTGTTAACAAGAGATTGCTTTTTTTTGTTCAAAGGTTGAAATTTTTCATTCAAGCATTCGTCCATGATACAAACATCAGAATTTTTAATACGTAAATTAAATATGCCTCGACGTCGATGGCGCCGATGTTGCAAATTTTTTGCTATATTTCAAAATCAGTTGCTTTCTTTTCGAATATTTAAATATATGCTCAATAACTTTCTCGAATATTATGATTCTATTAACTCTTCTTCCATCCCTAATAACCTGCCAAAAATATTTTTCGTTTTCAAACTGTTCTAGTGGCTTCTCTCCCCTTATATGATTTTGCTTTAGTAGAAATAATAGGTCAAGGTGGAATTCACTTTGTATACATTGAATCGAATGTCTTTATAGAGAGTTAATTTTCGTTTTGAAATGAAAAAGTGATAAGTACATCACATGTGCTTTGCCCCTGAATAGTTAACGACTGCAAATAAAAATTTATCCTTCTTTTGGTTTGACACCGAGTGATTAATAGAATTTAGAAGCTAGAAATAAAATCTGTGTTAGACCACTAATAACTACTTGTTGAAAATTTTAGATATTATCACACATCGCATTAGAAGGAAAGTTAAGTCACTTATTCAAATTTTTTTTAAAATAAGTTAAAACCCTATAGTGGGCCATGGCCAGCTATTAAATGTCTCATACTCCCTCTGCGGTTATTCATATAATAACTTTTCAAAATAAGACATTATGTAAGAAGTTGCCAAAAAAGTGATCCAATTGAAACCATTTTCAGTATCAGTCGTTTTAAGTAAAAACCCGTCAGTGCACCAAATATCCTCAACGTGTTTCATAAATTGCGTCTTGTCGATTAAACACCAGATAACAAAGCGGACGACAGAACCGAGTTTTGGATTGTTTAGTGAGCATTTAATGCAATGAAAATTAAACCCGAAAAAACAATCGCAGGATGGTATTATCTCTTAAGGCGAAGCTTACAGCCTCTAACATGAAATATTAATCGACTTGAAATAATTAAATTAGAGAGAGCACTTAAACCCTTTGAAAGTCGTCTCTGCAGATTTGATTCACCAAACTGAAGCATAAGTTTCTCACTGCCTAAAATTGTAGATAACATCCAAAACGGATGGTACAACTCTCATTAGACTATTAGAAATTTCTTCTTGCTAGATACCCCTATTAAACTAATAAACGCGATATTTAGTAGAAGATACAAATGCATAACATCCTCAGACTCACTTCCTTCGACAGAGGCAGTAAAAAAACTTGAATCGGCAACTGTTCACCTTTAGAATTTGAAGCATCAGGTATGGTGGGCACAGCTACAGCTAGGTTATGCGGCTAAAGAAGTGGCTTTAGTGTGTCTTACGGTAAGCAGTTAATTGTAGGGCGCGAATGAGCGGAAGCACTGAGAGAGTAGCATTGATTAAAGAAGTCGCATTATGGATGGAAGCATTACGAAAGACTCATCGGTTAAAGAAGTGGCAGTAGTGTGTCGCAGGGTGTGCAGACGATTGTAGGATGAATGGGTGAAGGCACAATGAAAGCCCTATTGGTTACAGAAGTCGCGTTAGTATGTCGCATGATATGCAGGTTTTTTCTAAGACCAGTGGACGGGAACGGGAAGAAAGTCGCATAGTCAAGCATTAGCGGAGTTAATCGGGTGGAAAAAATCTCTTTTACGTCTGCAGAATACTTGCCCGATTTGCATCAACACGTAACCACTATAAAAGCCCAACTTGCTGCACAGAATGTATCGTAAAGTCGAACTAGGCTTGTCGATCGCTCGATCACTCTGAATTCTTAGTGGTTATCGATTCAGACTTGAAATTAGATTTCATTATCTCCGCACTTGTCATATTTCTCACTTGATTAAATTCATTTATTCGTACGAAGATGGGACTTAAATTATTAAATTTAATTGTTAAGCTATTAGTTAACCAACATTTGTTAACTTTGCAAACTTTCACAAACTACATAAACGTGGGAAAATTTACTGAACAGTAAACGATAGAAAGTTCGATTTCTGACATTTTATTAATCTAGAATGAGTGACGTGAAGCTGAAGTGAATTATTAGCGAATATAATAATAATCGCTTGTATAAAGTTCATCGACAAGTTTATTAAGGGAAAATTGATATCAAATTGTACTTTAATTACAACGAAATATATTATATTTCCATTACTAATTTTTATAAACTTAAGCAATCACTGATCCCTAAATAATAATTAAGCGAATTACTGACGTGCAGCCGCAATTAGTTGCAAATCTTTCTTTAAAGCAATTTTCCCCATCCAAGCACGAAACATAAATATAATTCCTTACACAACAACAAGATAAACGACCAAAGCGAGCAACACTTTATGTTAAACAGCTAGCAATAACAATGAAAAATGTTGGTGATAAACAATAATAAAGTAAAGAGGAAAGCGAAAGAAAAGCTATAAAGAAACAAAAAGAAAAAAAAAAGAAAGCAAGCAAAAAGAAGAAATGAAAACAGGAGCACGAAATAGCAACGTAAGTTGCATTTAAAACGAACGGGGAACAAATAAGGGAAAGAAAGCAAAAAGAAAAAAAAAAAAAAAAAAAAAAAAAAAAGTTAAATGGCTTTGCACGGCAATAGAAAAACTTTTAAAGTATTAAAAGTTTATCATAAGAATGACTATGCGGCTGAAAGTTGAAGAGGAGGATAGAATGTCAAAGAAAATAAAAAACAAAATAAGCAAAAAAGAAAAAAGAACAACAAAAAACTTTTGATGACGTAATGTTAATCTCTCATAGTCTTTAACTTACCCAAATGATGTGCTATATGGTCATGTTCTGGCAATTCGTGAGGCAATAAACCACCCAAACCGCCATCAAAATCGTTTATATCATCGCCGTTGTAGGTGTGACCGTTACTAATGCCGCCATTTCTCATATTGTAAACCATTTGTTCCAAATGATGATTGAACATCATTTCATCGACCTCGTGTTGCTCATGTTGATGCTGATATTGTTGTTCATGTTGTTCCTGGTCTTGGTGCTGTTGTTGCTGCAAATCACTATGATGATTAAAATGACTGTTCAACATTTCGTTTTCGTGCGGGTTAAGGTGAATCTCACGCCGACTCCTGCTATCCTCTGCGCACATTGCATTGGCTATACAACTGTTAAACCAAATTGCCATAATTAGCAAAGAAATATCCGGTATTTTATGTTTCCGTTTCATTTTTATTGTCTATTGTAGAACAGCAGCTGCTTTACGCTACTGTTGCTGTTGTTGTTATTGCTGCGGCGGCTGCGGTTGCTGCTTGCTTGCTTGTTAGCTTGCAGCTTTTACTTTTAATACTATAGACTGTGTCTGCGTTTTGAATGTATATAAGCAATAGATGAGAGATGAATTCTCTCTACCTGCTCTTCTCCTCTATTGCTGGCTAACAAGCATTATGTCTGCTTTAGTAAATTTTCGACATTACAAACATATTATTGCCATTTTGGTTAATATGTCTCATTGTCTCATTTCCAATTTATCCGTATAAGCACATATACGCACTCATATAGTTACCATGATGGCGGTCGTAATCGCGGTATCGCAATAATTGCAGATAAATTTTAAACATTTTGAACAACTGAAAGTTTTTGATTTCGTTAAAATTTTTGCGGTCACTTGATGAGATTTCATTATTTGTTTATTGGATTTTTAAATCTACATATAAATATGCCACACGGTATGCCAAACTGTACGCTCTAAAGTTTATACGTAATGGAAACATTTGTTTAATAAAAACTATACTCTAAACTATATCAATAGCTGCATATTATATTACAAATAAACATATATATATATATATATATAGTGAATATTGGTTTTTTTATTTATTTATTTATCTATTTTTTGCCGAAAACGTAATTTCAGGATTTTTGTGGTTTTTGGCCGAAACCGCTTTTTTGTTTTTTTTAAAGCACATATATAAAAATATATGTACATATATTTATACTTTTATATATTTATGCCTTACTACCAAAATCCCATTCTCGCGCTCTTTATTATCATAACCTTTGTTTTCATAATAATATATGGTTTAATTTTTTCTACGTTTATTTTAATTTTTGTTGTTTTGGTTTCTTGCCGCACTGTTTTTGTTATTTTATTGTTTATTGTGTTTTAATTATGGCTACACATTGTTTATTATTTGGTAATTAATTTTATATGGTTTTTACGCACAAAAACACACACATACGACCTACCCAATTTTTTATAGAAAATAATAATAATAAAAAAAAAAAAAAAAAAAAAGAAGAAAATGAAGGGCAGATATAATGAGAAACATTTTTGCTTACATTATAAATAATTAATTATGTCAATATTATCAGATTAATTAAGTATCAACACAAACGTTTACCAACAATATATATATATATATATATATATATGTATATATATCATATATATCAATAATGCAAAAAAAAACATAGCTAGTCAAAAAACGTAGTAAAATTAATTTTTCAACTGTTCCGTTAATCATCTGTTAACGAAAAAACATCCTAACATTTTAAGCAATGTCTGTGAAACCGAATAGCTCAAGAGCTTACACTACATTCAGAAGTTTTTCACCAAAATTTTGAGTATTCAACCTAAGTTATTCCTTCAACAGTTAACTGTTTTTGACGAATATACTCGTATTATAACACGTATACCCGGCCGGAGTAGTAGGCGGTGAGTAGTAAACAGTGAAAATCTGTAGTGTAAAATGTAATTTTCAAGGTGATTAGAATATTATGAGGCCAAGCCGGACTGCAATGTTGCTACCTATTACTACTGCCGGCAGGATAGTACCGGGAGTGAGCTTAATTGCTCAAAGCACACATCCGCTGCGATGTTTAAACTAAATACAACTCCATTTTCTAAAACAAAAATTTGTGGGTATTTTTTCACTACCTACAAATCATAAAAGACAGAAGGCGGACATTTTCGAAATTTACTTTACGTATAACTCTACTATATATGCCCAAAATCGGTCTTGCCTACACAAAGTTATAAGTGATTAAATTTTCGCTTTTTCCTCTTTTTGAGGTTTTATGCTTCGTTTCGTGACAATTCCTATAAATGTAGCGGCCGAAAAACTAGATCTATGTGATCCAAATGAAATTAAAAACAGGAACATATTCTGCCTCAGGTCAATATCTAGTATTGCGATCATGTAATTTAGCGAGGATTTGAGTTCTCATATCATTATAATGCCGCCTGTAAAAGCAAAATTCTTGGAACAAATTTTTCGATACTGAATCTCTACTTTAGACGTAATAATAATTAATTATGGAAAAGTGCAATGAAAACTTGTTTCAGCGCATACCTAATGTTTTCATTTCGAAAAAGCCTAACAAAGTTTTCAACGCATAATATTAATTTTTGTCATTTTATCTCTTAGAAAGTTTCAGTTAGTCTGTCTCCTCAAGTATTCGCAGACGAAGTATGTTCAATATAACTTTTACTATAAAATAATAAATTGCGCGTTGTTCGGTGGGTACTTTGACATTTTGCACTTGATAAGTATTTTGAGACACCCGTTCTCCGCGGTATGAAAATGTAATCATATAAAAGGGCCTCATGGCGAATATCTTTCGAAAAAATACATAAATATGATAAGTATTATGGAAGTAAAGTTTGAAGCCATCGTTTGAGTTAGCAAACTATTCGCTTTGACGTCTATTGGAATAGAGTTTGGTCACGTGTTCAATTAGCGTTTATTACCGTTGGCTTATTTCGAGGTAAATCAAGTCATTTTCAAATCTTGCCTTCTACGGGTTAATGTATAAAAAGAATTGTTCTTACAAGCTTAGCTACTTTATATCGGAGATGTAGATGTAGATGTGGGCGGTGAAGAAAAGATCTTAAAGTTTTTCAGATCATGACGCATATATGAAATTATTCTGTTAAAAATCATTGCAGTATATTTTTATTATTTGTGTTAATTATATGCATGAGTGATATTAACTGTTGAAAAATGTTAATTTATTTCACATTTAGTGACAAGTAAATGATAGAATGATAATAATAAACAGCATTCCTCGCACTGTCAACTGCGGTTATTTACAACAAGAACTGTAATAAAAGAAAAAATATATTTTCTTTTACATATTTTTAGGCGTCACTTGTCTTTTTTTATTATGTTCTTAAACTATTTTATATTTCGCCTTATGTGAGAATAAAACAATATAAATAATTTATAAACAATTCATGTATATATATATATATATATATATATATATATACATACATCTCTACATATATACATATATACATGGATATGTCGTAATGAATTTTGGTTATTATATCCATAAGACATAAGTTGCTTTATTGCTGTCCTTGGCGTTTTTAATGTGTGGATGTCATGATAAATGAAAATTGTAGCAAAAGTCAAAGTAGATCGTAAATAGGTCGGTCGGTCGCGCTTAAATCCATTTTATTTAATTTATAATGTTTAATGAGTCTGCGACATGCTATTGCGAACAGAAAAGGAAAAGCAAATGTTAACGTTAAGAAAGTAAAAGTGAAAGGCGCATAAAACATATTAAAGGTGCTACTGTCGTCATCAAAGTATATTAAAGGCTTTGCAGAAACATGAATAAATGAATAAAAAACAAATAAAAAGTTAAGTGTTTTCACTTAGACTGCTATAAGATGTTATAAATGTGATAAAAAAGGAGAAACGAAATAAAAACAAATAAATTTATAAAATGGAACAAACATCATAAGTAAAACAAGAAAAAGAAAAATAGTGTGCAAAATGCAAGACTTACAACTTTAAAAAAAAATGTTCGTTGACTATACACTTATTCATCAATATTTGATCAGTAAGCCAGTGTAGTAAAAATTCAAGCGAAATATCAGATTTCAGAATTTTCGACATGGTATTCCAATCATATGATAGTAAGATTGTACTAATTTAAATCAGATGTGCTTATGGAAAACTGCATTGTTTTTCTCCTGACTTTGGTGGGCTACCAGGTATCTCTTGCAAGAACTTTTCCACTTATACAACAAATCGAAAAAAAGGTACCTATTTCTTTAGATAGAAGCAAAAAGGCCCATCTCACTAATTACGTAATGGCATGGAATTTTACATTTGAATCTAAAAAAAAAAAAAAACACTGTAACATCAGAGGGTAGGGCTTAGTAGTATTTATCCTGGCATAGCTAAGATAGCATTCACAAACAAAATAAAAGCACAGTCTATAAATGTTATGCTATATCACTGAGTAAGCTCCCGATCTGACACACATATGTAGCGATACTGTTGACAGACTCGTATGCTTTTTAGATAGTACGTTTGCGAGACGTGTCAAACCTTTATAATACTTCGGCCATTAGTTTACAAGTTTGGATTCATTTAGGCGACTCTCGCCGTTGGTTGGTGTTCATTTGGCTGACTGTCGATTTAACTCTGGTGTTTAGGGACGACCCATGTTTTAACTATTGGCAAAAGAGAGCGACAGCGGCAACCACTTGGAACAGACCTCTTTCGAGGACAAGTTTTCAGGCAAAAAATTGTAAATGTAGCTCCTCTTGGTATCTTTAAAGTGTTAGTTATCTCACGCAACTTCACTTTACGTCCTTCCAAAACGCTTTTGTACATATTTTGATCGTGTTGTCTAAAGCAAATGCGCTACCAGACATTTTGATATCATTGACGTTCGTATGACTTTGTTTAGCAGACCACAAGCACAAGTTTATCTTTTCGACGGAAAAGAGTCGTCAAGCCAACGTTGATTTGGAGCCGTTTTTTTTCCGATCAAAAAAGGACGTTTTACCAACACACGAAATGGAGCACTTTTCCCGTGGTTTTCAAAATTACCAAAGTAGCGTCACTGAAACAATTGTAACTTGTACATTCATAATCAGAATGTCTTGAAATCTTTGCACGTAGTGTTTGAAGCTTGGTACTATCCAGAAATCATAGCGGTGTGTCAACAGTGGTGATACATACATGTGTATCTGTTAGAGTGGAGACTTATTGACCGATGTGTTATGTTTGTTGCATGTGCAGAGTATTCCGCCATTAAATTATCAGTGTTCGTTTACTAGTGATCCTCTTTGCCATGTCAGTCCACCATCATGTATCCATGTCCGTCCATTAAGCATCCAGTCTGTCCTGTGGCTTTGTTTATGTCAGAGAAATTATTTTAGTCATATTTTTGTTCAGTTGAAGGCTTATTGTGTTTTAATATTAGTACTAAATAGAAGGTGTAAAGAGAGTTTGCTATTGCCACTCATTTAATGCCTTCGAAGGGAATTTTCTCGTATTTCTCGCTTTGATGTTAAATGGTTAACGGGGCATATGTTCTCGGGATAATTTGTACAATTGACATTTATTGATGAATTTGTGCTGTAAGTTGAGCTGCGGCGTTTTGACTGTTGTTATCTTCTTGCTGAAGCTAATGTATCTGATGTTAAAGGTTTCGAAATCCTTTGTTCAAATAAAGCACTGCTACCACAAGCACGCTTTACAGTTAGGTCTTGTGTCAAATTTTTTTATTTCTCGCAGAAAGCTCGAGCTCCACGAGTCTGCCACGAATTTTCATTAGTGTCAATAGTCGAAGTATTGGTTGCTTTTATCAATATCTCGCCATCACTTTACTACTTTTTCTGTTAACAGTTGAACTGAAACTTTTCTTTATTTTTGCTCGCAATACCTTGATTGCAGTTCCCATGTGCTGTGATATGTATATAAAAATTTTAATAAATTATATTTATGTTATTAATAAATACATTGCATTACATTGAAATTAAATCTCGTAAACAATCTTCATCAAATGTAATTAAAAAAGAATACCAATTAAGTTTTTTCAGTTCATACTAAGCAGATGTTACTAAATATTTATTGGTTCTTCTCCTTTTCTCGATTTGCATTGCCTGAGATAATCATAGTTAGAGTGTTTGCTATTAAGCCATATGTTTGTCTTCGTTTAAATATTATGTAATATCTTTTCTTAAGTTGTAGTTAAAGATGTGCGCCCTTTGACCTAAATCTAAGCTTCTCGTTACATTCCCTCGATGCCGAGCTGATAAGTTCGAATCGTTTTCTTTGCATATCGG